TCTTTTATCTTTTCCATTCACATTTATCTCCATCTTTTAAAAAATTCAATTTGGGAATACTAAAACACTTTGTTGTAAATGGTGGTTCATTCATTAATGATTTCTCACATAATTTCTAATTTGATGGGGGAAATTATATTAAAGCATCAGAATTTTGTACACCCTTGTGGCCTACCTTACTAAAACATACCCGTACGTTGGACCTTTGTGGGCCAAGCCCAGGTGGCCATAAAACATTGGGGTGAAATCAGCCTGCCCCTATAGTCATGCATCAGAGCAGTATGATTCAGTTGCTGATACAGCTTATTGATACTCTGAAATACCAATGAAGTTAGCCTGAAAAGTTCAGCATTAACAGCTTATTTGGAGGGAAAAAAAGCAAATAATTTTCCATTACATCAGAAATTTAGAAAACAAGTCTAGTAGCAAATCTGTATTTTTCGAATAGAAGTGAGTTTGAGTCTCCTGGATAGAAATGTAGGTCTTAAAAATTGTCAAAAGAAAAAAAAATTGTCCAGTGTATACATGTATATGCCCTGATTCTTTGAAGAAATTCACCCATGTTCTTAATATTACTAAATTAATATTAAGAATAATGTTTTTGTTATTAGCACTCTTCCTCATTTTTCTTCGGTCTAATAAAGCAGTACTTTAAAAAGTACAATTACCACACTGAAATCAATCACTGAATTTGCCACATTATTGGTAAAATCATTATTTCTAAGCCCATGAGTTTAAAAAATCTTTAGAATTCATCAAGACGGGCCCTGATTTATTTAATATAAATCTCAGAGCCTTCAGTAGTTTCAGATTATGGCCAAATATTTTATTACAACCCTTTCCTGGGCCTTGCACATGAGATATTGTATAAAGAGCTGGCCACTTAGTAGATGCTCCCTAAGTACCAGTTCCTTCCTTTCTTCCTTATTCACATTGAAGGGAAAAGAATATTACAGAGTTATAGATATGGAAATAATCTGTGAGTTTGGCTGACATTTTTATTTGGGGGTCAGGGAAGTATTGAAGAGTCCTACCACTACATGGAGTAATAGCTGTAGAAGGGCTGTTGTGTGACCACATGAACACTTGATGCCTGGTTTGTTTCTTAAGTTCTTCAGCTGTAATTTTTAACTTGGAGAACATGAGATAGAGAAACTAAGTCAGAAGTAGAATGATATTAATGTGCTCATTCCAGCAAATAAGAGAAGTATTAAATGGCTACTCAAGGAAAGCTACATCACAAGTTACACATTTTTTTCAAAACCCAAATTCAGGATTTCTTTCCATTTAGCATTAATGGTACACTGCTCAAGTTTAACATGTTGCTAAACTGGATGGTTGATTTTAATCATGTATTTCCTAATCACTTAACCTTAAATTTATCTTATTAAAAGTCTGAAAAATGGCCAGGCAAGGTGCATTACATCTGTAATCCTAGCATTCTGGGAGGCCAAAGAAGGCGGACTGCTTGAGCTCAGGAGTTCAAGACCAGCCTGAGCAAGAGCAAGACCTCATCTCTAAGACTAGCCAGGTGTTGTGGTGGGTGCCTGTAGTCCCACCTACTCAGAAGGGCAGAGGCAAGAGGATCCCTTGAGTCAAAGAGTTTGAAGTTGCTGTGAGCTGTGGCGCCATGGCACTCTACTCAGGATGACAAAGTGAGACTGTGTCTCAAAAACAAATAAAAAGTAAAAATCTGAAAAAAATATGTTACTTGATTTTGTCTTTACCAGGTTGATATTCCAGAAGGAGGAAATGGGAAAAGAGAAACAGTTCCATCTCATTGTGTTAAGTAAGTTTATTTGTTTTCTTTTGCACAAAATACAAAGGAGGCAACCGTTTATATCATGAAGAATTACCAAGGAACACTTACAAAAAAGTGTGACTATTCAGATTCTAAGTGTGTCTTTTTAATTTAGTTTATGAAGAAAACTTGTTTAAAAAGCAATAGTGTATTAAAATTCTGATGAAATGGATACAAGGGACACTCCATAAGTTTTGAGCTACACAGAAATTAAGAAACGTAAAATCATTTTGATTACTATATTTTCTCAAAACATTCTGCGCATTTTTGCATTCTTATAAACTATTTTTGAAAATGTATTTTCTTCAAGAGCTGAAAACTTAATTTCGTAGGCTTAAGCAACTTTTTTAGGTCTGAAGAACATTTTCCTGCACATGCAATTTTTTATTATAGGGAATAGGAAATAATCACTTGGGGCCAGGTCAAGACTGTAGAGTGGATGAATTATAAGTTTAACTTCTGTGGACTCCCAGAACTGAATGGTGATGTTGGCTGTGTGGGCGGATGAATTGTCATGGTGCAAGATGGTCCCCTGAAGTCTAGTCCTTGGCTGCTGTTCTTGAAGCTTCCTGAAAACTTTGGGTAGGCATATTGTTGTGTACCACTGAGCAGTGACAGTCCTTTGTTCCTCCAGAGGAACAGTTGCAACATGGTGGCTTTTGGAGGAGAAAGTTGCCGCCATTTTCTTTCCAACACATTGGGGCACTTCACTTTGGTGGGTTTTCATCAAGAAAAATCCACACTGCTGACTGATGTTTATTCTCTGCCTCAAACTGGTAAATTCAGATTTTGTCACCAGTGTCGATGTCAAAAACATATCTAGACTTGCCTCCAGGAACCTGACCAGCATTTCTTCACACCATTCAACCCGGATGTGTTTTGCTCCTCTCAAAGGGTGAGGCACCCATAGGATGACACATCCCTGGCTTGAAGATAATCATGCAGGATTTTGGATACTGCCAGTGTTTCAGTGTGCCTTGCCACTTCAGTGCCCTTAAATGTCCCTTAAATGTTTACATGAGCAGTATTTTCCACAGTGGTGAGGTTTTCCTCAGTTACTGTAGTCACTCCTCTCCTCGTCTTTCAGTGAAGTTTGGCCTCTTTTAAAACTGTTGAAACCACTGAAAAATTGTGCAGGAAGGAGTAAGATCCCTAAAAGCCCCTTGCAAATGCTCACCCATTTAGCCCACTTTTGAAATCTTAGTAAATCATTACGAGAAAGTGCTGCCTTCCCAGCTCCATAGCTGGTGCCATCTGAGTGCCATGAGGACAGAAACAAATGCAATGCAATAAGCCCAGCAAGTGGAAACTCGCATGGGTGAACCAGAAAGGACGCTGCTGTTGACTGTATTTCTTGGAAGTGAAATAATAGACTATACTGTCTCAAAACTTTTGTAGTGACTTCCATAGAAGCAGACATAAGCCACTCTCAGTATAAGAAATATAGATAGTAGCAACAGAGCAGAATCTGTCCTGAAGCTTCCCACAGCCTAACCTTAATGCCAGCAGAGATGATGTCATTGTCCAGTGCATTTTATCTTGACCTTTTAGTGTTTATCTACCAACAAGTTTTCAAACAGTTCGAATAATTTTGTCATGGGAAATATTTTATAGAAATACAAATCGTGAATGGACACAGTGGCTCATATCTATAATCCTAACACTCTTGGGAGGCCAAGGTGGGCGGATCTCTTGAGCTCAGAAGTTGGAGACCAACCTGAGCAGGAGCAAGAACCCATCTCTACTAAAAATGGAAAAATTATGTCCACAGCTATACCACCCTGAATGTACTGGATCTTGGCTAAAAAATGGAAAAAATTAGCCAGGCATTGTGATGGGTGGTTATGGTCCCAGCTACTTGGGAGGCTGAGGCAAGAGGATTTCTTTAACCCAGAAGTCTGAGTTTGCTATGAGCTAGGCCAATGCCATAGCACCCTAGCCTGGGTGACAGAGTGAGACTGTCTCAGAAAAAAAAAAAAGGAAGAAAGAAAGAAATAGAAATACGTATCCTACAAAAACTAATGGGCATTTTGTATTGTTCTGTTTTTAAGAGGAACTAGAGGAAACTGAAAAAAATTAAGTTGAAGGAATCTTCCTTTCTTCATGAGAAACTTTCCATGAATGTACTAACATGTGCCCTTTTATGTGTCATTGTGATTCCTTTGTGATTTCAAACATTGCCACAATGCAACTTTATGTTCTAGTTAAATGAGCAAATTAATAGACTTCAGTACATGCTGAAGACTGTAATGAGGAGATGCTCCCAGAGGGCTTTAGAAAATATCAAAGGTTATCACAAATAAGGAGACTTCTGATGGTACAGCAGTTCAATTAGTTCAGGTTCAGCTCCTCTCCTATTTTTTTTTTTTTT